TTTTAATTTTCAAAATTTATAAATTATTTGATATCTAAGGTTAGTTGAAATATTGAGTATATACATACATAACTAAAATTTAAAATTACCTAATTAAAATGTTAATTAATCATTTAAAATGCAATTAATTTTAATAATAAAAGTTATTTGTGTATATTTAAACGAACTTTTGACTCAAGGGAATAAGAACAAACATTTTACTAAAATAAAAAAATGGCAGCAGAATGATTATTCCAATATTATTCACAGTTTGACAACATATCTTTTAAATTTAATAAAATTAATTATTACTAGTATTATAATTATTATTAAATAACCATATTTTTTTCATTTAATAAAATAAATTTATTTATATATAAAATGTAAAACAAAATGTATATTAAAACGCAAGTAAAATGTATTCTAATAATACTTAACTATTTTGTTTTATTTGCATGTAACCTCAATAAAATTTTAAACAATAAATTTATACAGGGTGACATAAAAGAAACTGCACACCTTATTTTCGGCATAACTTTATTCAGCTGAAAGATATTTGGATCAGATAAAGCTTAAAAGATAGAGAATTAAATAAGGAACAAAAATTGCAAAGAATTTTTGAAGTACCTCACCCTTATTTTGATAAAGAGTAAAAGGCGCGAAGAAAAATATTAAGGAAAAGTTCGCAAGTCGAAAAATTTTTTTTCAGAGAATAAATTTTTTGTGAACTGATCATGTCAAAATTACGAAAATGGCATATTTTGGTGGAAAAAGTCTCCTCTTTCTAATCCACTTGTTACTTATTCCCAAACCATTTTTTCTTTAATGATATAGTTCGTTATTTGCAAAAGGGTCAAAATCCCCTGATTTTCGTGAATACTGAGGGTTTTCGCGGATTTACCGGAAATCCTTCAAGATGTTTTACAGCCTTGGATCCGAAGCCACTTTTGGCGTAGAGAAGGGATCCTTCATCAAAATTCTTCTTCTTTTAATAAGACCTTTAAAGTGCAGGGTTGGTGAGGAGCCAATTTACCTGGTTTTAACCCATCTCAAATAATGCCACCGTACTCATCGGTTTTAAATCCGAGGATTTATCTTTCAGGCTTATTTTAGAGGTAATTGTCTGCGCTAAATAACCTTAGAGTTTGGAGTCGCTTCGGCCATCACTCGTTTGGAAATGAGGGAAAATACCGCCCACGGAGTTGCGAACTTTTCCTTAATATTTTTCTTCGCGCCTTTTACTCTTTATCAAAATAAGGGTGAGGTACTTCAAAAATTCTTTGCAATTTTTGTTCCTTATTTAATTCTCTATCTTTTAAGCTTTATCTGATCCAAATATCTTTCATTTGAATAAAGTTATGCCGAAAATAAGGTGTGCAGTTTCTTTTATGTCACCCTGTATATAAATTTTTATCTTAAAAATTCTTTTGAAAATAAAAAAATGTATAATGAATTATTTTTTTAAATGTAAAATAAATTATATCAATACGTTGAAATTGATAATAATCTGACTTCGCTTTAAAATGTAAAAATGAAACATTGCGTTAGCTTTTACTTCCGTGAATAATTTATTATTTTTAATAATATCTTGCGACTCGATCAAGTAAAATTTTAATTAATTATTCACATGTCATTAACTAAAACTGCTAAAAAATGAATAAACATAAATAATTGATAAAATAGAGAAAAATAAATATTAAAGTTTGATATAATAATTTGATAACTAATAATGTCAAAATAATGATAATAATAATTAATGAATCAAACATAAATTTTCAAAATAATAATTCTAAATTAATTATAAAATTTAATAATAAACCAATGTCGCGGATCGCTCTTCCTCTAAGAGCAAGAGAAATAGTTTAGTTAAAAATTAGCAGGGAAACTTATTTTCTATTTTATCTTTCTCTTTTGGACGCGTCGAATATTCTTGTAGTGGAAGACTAGCATTAAATTGACAACCAGGCTTACTTTTGATATGTCGAAACTCTTAGAGCTAAAGATTGTTCATTCGCATATGTCGATCACTCTCAGAGTAACGACTCCTCAAATGTTAATGGCCTGCTCATCTATGTCGGCCACTCTTAGAGTGGCTCTCTCATCTCACACTCTCTCATCTCGCCACTCTCATCTCACACATTAATTGCTTGCTCATCTCGCCGTGTCGCTCATTTTCCTAGTGGGCGACCTTTGCTGTGTCTCCGCTCAATTACAACTTCCCGCCTATTTGTCCGATCTGGCTTTTCTTTATAAAAAAAAGAAACGGAGAGGAATTAGTTACATTCTTAACGATTTTAACTATTCGTTCACTTTTCACAATCATTTTAAATTAAATGAAATTCCCTTTTTCCTTTATTTTCCACATTAATGTAAATATTTATATTATTCCCTTTGACTTATTTACCTGTATATGTTAATTAAATTATTCGACTATTCTTAATTAAATAAATACCTATTTATGATTTAATTTTATTATTAACAATGCGAAAAATTAATAAATTGTTAAAGTTTAAAATTTATTTAAAAATAATTATATTTTGTTTTTATATCCTAAAATAATGAGTAAAACTAACGTTTATTAATTTAATAATAATATTCCCATTAAAATTAAAAATAAATTTTATAAAAAATAAATTTTATAAAATTATCGGAAAATATACATATTTAACTATGGACTCTATGATATAATGTGGTGAGTTGATAGAATCTGTTGATAGAAATAAATGATAAAATTTATTGATAATCGATTAATGAATAATTTAGATTATTAGATAATTTTAATTTAGAATGATAATTTTGTTAGGAAATATAATTAGAATTTAATGTGCATTATAATTGATAAATATACATGTATTGCTGAATTAATAAATAATTAAGTAATGTACAAATATAAATTTAAAATAATTATTCCATTTTTGATAACTTATATTTCTGATAACTTTAATGAAAATACAATTATAAATTAATTTTAAAATTTAGTAGAAATCTTATCATTATTTAAAAATTATAGTAACAGCGATATTTTAAGGTTCCATAACAAGTTTGATCTATGTATACATTGAAGATCAAAAAGTTGTGGAATCAGTTATTTGTATTATTTTATGATATTTAATACCTATTAAAAAATTGAATCGCAACAATTGCAATGAACCTTTGCAAAGAAGCCATTTCACAATTATAATTTGTTTTACATTTTAAATTTAACAATCACAAAGAATTCAAATCTTTTTATGTTGTAAGAATTAATTTTTAAATAAATAATAAATTAAATTTAGATTTTTCGCAGGAGTGTATCTAGTATACATGAAACGAATATATCGACAATGTAGAAAAAATAATACCAACAAAATACTTATTCTATGATAAAATAAGTATAATTATATTTCTACGTGACATATTTAAAAAATAAAATTAAAAAAATATTTTTAAAAAATTTGAATTAAATAAATTAATTTAATTAGCTTTAATTTAAGACCAAATAAAATTTTAAACAAAATAAAATTTAAAAAAATTTAAATTAATTTGATCAATGACAGAAAAGTTTTTATCTAATTGATTAAAATATACTAATTAAAATTATTATTTTATTTAATAATTTAGAGTTAAAGCATAACAAAGTTTATCTTCGAATTGTGCCATAAATTTTAATTAAAAAAATAAATAAAATATAATTCAAAAATATACACTAATATTACTAAATTTATTTATAATTTATAAAAATATGATTCGTATTTATTGTTCATAATTAAAATGATATTAAAAATAAATTTACAAAAATGTCAACAAAGGGACAAAAAATTTTACGGTTTCCAACAAATTTTTTAAATTAATATTATTTTTTGTAATAAACATAAAAAATTTTTATTATGATATTTAATATAATTGTATTTTTTATTTATATAATACTATACTATGTATAAACTAAAAATTTACATTTTTAAATTAATTTTTAAAATTCAAATAAAGAAAGTTAATTAGGTATAATGATTACCAAAATAAAATTCTAGTTTAGAATATTAAATGAAATAGTATACGAAAAAGTAATATAAATTAAATTTTCAAAAACTCAAATAATATATGGTGTTCGGAATTTAAATTTAATTTGAAATTTAATTGATATTGAAATATTTTTAAAAATTACTGGGACGAAATACTCGAAGCTACTGTATTTCTGGGCTTATAAATTTATTTTTAAATTAATATATGCAATTAATTTAATTATTAATCATACTTGTAATTTAATTATTCTCAATAATTTTATAATTTTTTAAGTCAAATAACTCTAATTTTTAATTGTTTAAATGTAAAGTAAATATTAAATAATTTTTAAATATAAATTTAATAAATATGCTTAGATTTTAAAGTATAATTAAGGTAATAAATAAAATATGTTTATGAACTCTAAAACGAAGTTTATAACAAAAGGATATTTCTAAAGACAGAAAATATTTATATTGAAATTAATTTTTAAATTATTCATAATCTTAAAATAATTATAATAAACAATTCATAAATTTATTATCGTCTTTTATGATATTGACAGCAAAAAATCATTCTAATATTATTAAAAATAGATATGGAACATAATTTAACATCACCCTATTTTACCATCAAGACTAACGAAGTTGAATACACTTCCAACTTATTGTAATTAATTAATAAAAATTCTGACGGTCAATCTACATCATTTAAGAAAAATTTAATATTTTATATTCACAAATTTTTATAATGATGATTGTTTATACTAACTTTTAAAGACAATATTTAATGAATTATTCCGGTTAAACGTTAATTAAGTTTTAAAAATATGAAAATTTATCTAAACTTTGATAGACAACATCAAAAGATAATTGATTAGAATTCGTGATCGAAGCTCTGATTACAATCAATAAATGCAAGCAGATTAAATATTGATAAAAAAATTGATAGAATTTATATGAATTAAGAATTAAGCACTCTAAATTGATAGCAAATCCACAAACAAACAATACTACTTCGGATTTTGTTATCATTCAGATTTGTTAATTATAATACTTATATTTAAGACAATTTGGCATTACATTGCTTACTGGTGTGCGTTTATAGAAAGCTTCTTGATATGTCATTAATAAAATTAAGTTATTTGTTGCAAGAAAAGAATTTGAAATTAAATGAATACATTCAGCATATTTTTTAGTTCCAGCATCTATACCCAATTTATTATGTAAATAATTTAGTAACATTCTTGAATAATAAGAAAATTCCTTTGAAAGAATATTTCTCCCTGATTCTGACAAATTTGGAATATCTTTTTTTTTATTTTTTAAAATTATTTTTAAATATTCTAATTAAAATACCTGGATTTAAAAAAGTAATTGCCAAAATTAAACTAACTTCTTCTTTAGAAATTCCAATACGAAAAAAAGGTTCTATCGGTTTACTGAATGCTTTATTTGCCAGAGAGAAGAGACTTAAAATTAAAATAACATAATTTTTTAAAAAAGGCTAAGGGGGTTTTTTCCAATTCCATTCCGAATTAAATTAACAAGATGAATCAAAATCGAAATATCTACCAAATATTTTTTTAAATATATTTTTATTTACGTTTTATCATCTTTAAAACTAAATTGATCAGTGAAAGCAGCCATTAGATAAAACCCATCTTTTCCTATCATAGTACGAGATTTTAATTCATATGAAACAAAGCAACTGCAAAGCACTAATACTGCATGTTCAACATATTCCAAAATAACTAACTTTAATCATTAACGTATTATTAAATTAATAAAGTTATTATTAAAATTTAAAATATTGGTTCTCTTAATTATTTAGTCTCTCATGCAACATATTTATTACAAAAATAATTGAGTGAATATTTAAATCTGTTATTCCCATTCACTTAATCCTGAAAACAGCCATAAGATTAACAGAAGACACCGAAAAAGGCATGAGTTTATTTTAAATATTCTCCCAAAAATTTCTATAAATATATTTCATTGAGCGGCGGTGCTGCATTTAAGAAAAAGATCTTTTTGCATAAATATGACTCCTATTCTACGTGTGTTTAATTAAATCTCATGTTCTTTAATTTAGAAAAATAATAACAAACTTGATCTTTGACATCAAGTTTTGGAAAAACAGGTAAAGCTTTAAAAATTCCAATACAAACAAGTTTCTGAACAAGAAAATATTTAGCATCACGATAAGTAAATTGACAGAATTGTGCACTTTGTTCGTAAAATTCAGTTGAACTAATAAGCTTTGGCATTTCCTATTATTAATTAGTAAATATATGTATTTGGATGAAATGAATAGATTTATTTACATCATCGAGCATGAGCTAACCCATGGTCGGGAGCAGACGCACCCAGGTACGGATAATGTCAGGATATCCGCGTATATATCCGGATATGGACGTATATGGATAGTGTTTGGATAAATGTCGGATATGGATAGTTTTTTTAAATCGGACGGATACTGATTGATACGGACGGATACTGATTTCAGCATTTATGTATATTTACTTTCCAAAAAAGTTATTTCCAGCATTAGGAAAAATCTGCAAAAATTCCAGTAAACTTATACATATATTGATATTATGAAAAAATAAAAAGAAAGTAGGTACGGACTTATGACACAAAATATAGGTGGATGTATGTATATTTTAGGGACAGAGTGTAACAGAATATTGTCGTGCCGAAAAAGAAATAGTGTTATATTTCCTCACATTTCCCTACCCTTATTTTGACCCCATATATTAATTTCTCATCTCTTATATTGTAAACCCCTCCCCATTTAATTTTCGTTCGTTATTAATTTATTTTGTTTACTTAAAAAGAATAGTAAAAGAGTTTATTTTGTGTTGTGTGAAATTATCTAGAAAGGTTACGGACTCAGCCTTATCATTTAAAGTCCTACAATATAGATAGCAAAATCCCTGTCCATGTGCAAGTCTGGTTGGGAGTAGCTGAAATCGCGTGATAAGCAATAATTACTATTAGCAACGGAATTTATATCTAACACATTACGGACCGTACGAAAATTCAAGTTCAAAAGACAAACATTCCACACATAAATTACTGATATTTTCTGAGAACATTGTTTAATTTTTACCGGAAATTCTGATGCTTTCGTAATAATATTTGGCCCAAAAAGTAGAATATCTTGTAATGAATTAAAATCCGCAGATAAAAATTGTTGTTCATAATAATTCATAAATGAATTTCTAATTCGGTTTTGTGCTTCATAAATTTGAATTAAAAATTCCCACTATAAGTAAAAAATATTTCCAAAAAATAATATTATTTTTAATTGTTTACTTGACTGATTTCAGCATTTATATTAGACGATATGAAATTATTTTGTTGACCTTTAATAAAGAATTATATTCCAAAACAATTTTAATAAGTTAAATAAATTAAACTTAAATATTTTAAATATTTTGGTTGGACAAGTATAAGAGCTGTGTGATAGATTCTTAAATTTAAGACAAACCTCTATTCTACTCTAAAATTTTTCGGAGTCGCGAATATATGAAAATTAAAATCAACTATATAGAGTTGGACCATGTCACATAATGTGTGATGCCGGATTTTTAAAAACCTTTTTATTTAATAATATTATACCAATTGTTGTGTCATTAAAGTATAATTTATTGCTTATACAAATTTCTTGATTACTTGTTGACTGTTTATATTCATTGAACTTTTTATTATTTATAACACAAATTGTTTTTTTATGTTCTTGATGATATAAATCGTTAGATTTCGATTGTTGTAATTTATTTCGACGTTTTTCCAACATTTCAATAAATACTTTTCGGCAATTTATATCATCAATTTTAATCAATAAAGGATCCATTCCTTCAATTAAACACTTGTCAAAACGGCAACCTCTACATTTATCACCTGATATAAGTAATACAATTTCAGTTACTTATTTTTAATTAATATTATTACACCAACCATTTATTATATCACACTTTTTATTTCGTTTACAATTGACAACTTTTTGATATAAAACTGTACGCCGAAAAAATTGCTTACAGCCTTAAAAGAAAAAGAATCATGTAACTTTAAAATTTCTTTTAATTTTAATTATTTTACTTAAGAAATAAAGTTAAGAACAAAACATCCCAAATAATTTCAGAATAACAAAAAAAAATTTAGAAATTTACTTGGACAACTAATAACATTATAATTTCTGCCTTCACTTTGTTTCCCACATATTTCACAACAACGAATTTTTTGCATTTAAATTACCGGATTGTCTCTAATAGAAGCCCATGCCTCAATAGAAGCCCATGCCCAATAGAAGCCCACTCAATGAGGGGTATTGAAAAATAGAAGCCCAGGGCTTGTATTAGAGACAATCCGGTATTCTTATTCATATTTTAGTAGTTGATAGTTAAATATGTATATTAAAAAATTAATTAAATAATTTTATTAAAAAATTGATAATAAATTTAATAATTAAAATATTTCATTTAAAAAAACCAATAACTAATTTAAGCTAAATAAATAATTTACACACTTTATAAAATTTTATTTGTGTACGAAAAAGAAAAAATATACTTATTCGTTTTCATTTTATCAAAGATGAGTACAGAAAGGTTTAAAAAATTTTAATAAAATTTTTTAAGATAATTAATTCAAAAAAGCTATGTAAATAAATATAAAAATGTAAAAAATATATAAAAAAATGCCAAAAATTAGCTAAATATTGAAATAAATCAATATTGATTAGAAAATACGTATAATAATTATAATTATTCTTTATTTAATAATTTAACACCAGCAACACTCCAAAAAAGGAGGAGTTGAGCTCCGGAGGAGTTGAGCTTTTATTGTTATTTATGTTCAGTTTTGAGGTTTTTGTTAATTGAAAAATTTTAGGGCGAGAATTGTCTAAAAGGGCTGAGCTCCATTCTATGAAATAGTGGAAAGGCAACGAAACCATAGTGAATAATAGGCCATATTTACACTTTTCAGCGCCGCAAAATAATTATTAGACGATAAAACAATACTATATTATTTTCTACATGACGTACATATTTAGAAAATAAAATTAAAGAAAAATTTTTTAATTTGAATTAAATAAATTTATTTATTTAGTCTTAAATTAAAAATAAGTACAAATTTTAAATTAATTTTAGAAAGAAAGGATTATATAAATTGATTAAAAGATCTTATAATAATTTTAATTATTTTTATTTAATGATTAACTTTCAATATACCAATGAATAAAATTAATTTCTGTTTAATTTTCTAATTAACGGTGTTTCATCCCGTTGGATTTATTCAAACTACCATAAACTATTTATTTTATCATATAGATTCTAAGTAAAGCCTTGTTCCTATTATATTTCTGTTATCGAGTATTGTTCAGAATAATTACAATTTTTTGAAAAATATTAATAACTACAAGTAAAAAGTTATCAAATTAATAAGCAAAATAACTTATATTGCTTTATTACTTTGGATTGCTACAATTGAAAAGCATATTAAACTTAAGTTTTTTTATATATTTAATACAGGTGTTTCCGAACAAATTTTTGAAATTAATATTATACTTTTTAACAAGTCTAAAATTTTTATTAAGATAATTAATATTAGTAATTGTATTTTTAGGTCCAAACAGTTGTGGGTCTCATGGGGAGGAATTTATTTGCCAACTATGGTGAATGGAAATGGAGAACAGGGAAATGCCAATACAAATAATACGGCACACATGTACACCATATTTGACGCCACTAATGGACAACTGGGCTACAAAAAACTTACCGATAACTTCATCAACAACAATTATATGATTAAAAAAATAATAATCTGTAAAAATAAATTGATTGTAGAATTAGAAGTAATAATAATTTACTATTAAGAAAATTAATTATAGAGTCTAAATTCCCCCAAATTAATCATTGTGGGAAAAAATCACATACAAATATTGCATACAAATATGTACATATTTTAAAAGATTGTATGCATTACATAAAAATAAATATTAATAAAATATAAAATAAAATACTCCACCCTTTACTATTAAATTTAAACTATTAAAATTATCAACATCATTCAAATTTAGAAGAGCAACAATGTTAGCACTAAAAAATAAATTTCAAAAATTATTTCTAAGATTGATTAACAATAAATGATAATACTACGGTTCATTATAAACATAAGATCAGAACCTGGTGATGATAGAAACGTAAATATATGTACATATATTATTTTAACATATAATTTGAAACTACCTTTAAGGTTATTTAATCCAGCTTTATTTATTTGATAATATTTATCCAAATAAAATCAAAATAAATTTTATAAAATTAATATGAAATTTATACATCGATGGGAACCATTATGCATTATGCGTAGAGATCTTCAAGATCAAAAAAGATTAAAAATTATTGATCGATGTTATTTAAATAGTTATGATGATAACCTTTATAAAATAATAGTAAAATTTAATATGGAAAATAATTGGTATAATTTTAAATTATTAAATTATTAAATAATTAATTAATGTTTTATTATAAATTTTATAATGATTAATTAAATTCCCATGATCTCAAACTAAGAGATAGACATGTAAATCCTGTTTAAAAAATTATTAAGAAATTATTGTAAAAATATATTAATTGTAAAAATAAAATTTAAATTAAATTAACTTAATAAATAAAAGAGATTAATAAATTTAAATAAAATTATTAATAATTATAAGTAAAATAAATAAATTAATAATTTAGCTTTGGATATTAAAAAAATTATCAATTTTTTTTAACTATTGAGATTAACACAAATAAAAATTGGAATATGTCGCCGGACATTCTTTTTAAAATAATAATAATTCTAATAATATTAAAATCACTTTATAAAATTTACAAAATTATATTAAATCGGCTGATTATTAGGATGTGAAGCAGTCTACAACCTCAAGAATTGGTTAAAATCTATTTTATTTTTAAATTATAAACAAGTTTGGATATTATATGTGACATATATTATAGGCTACATGACATTTTTAACAAATAAAATTAAAAATTATTTTTTTAAAAAAATTCGAATAAAATAAATTAATTTAATTAGTCTAAATTTAAAAATAAATAAATTATAAAATATAAATAAAAAATATTTACTAGTATTACTAGAATAAATTTATAATTTATAAAAATATAATTTATATTTATTGATTATAATTTATTAAAATAATGTTGAAAATAAATTGACAAAAATGACAAGAAGTGGGAACAAAAAAATCCTACGGTTTGCGACCAAATTTTAATTTATATGTACATACATTATTTGTAATAAATATAAAGATTTTTATCATGGTTATTAATATAATTGTATTTTTTATTTAAAATTTACATTTTTAAATTAATTTTAAAAATGCAAAAAATAAAGTTAATTATGTATGTATAATGATTAGCAAAATAACATTCTATGTAGTATAGAAAATTAAATGAAATATGTATGTATAAAAATTTTTAAAATAAATGGACCAACTTATTTCGAAAAGTGCAAAGGCAACGTATTAAAATGAATATTTAAAAAAATTTCAACTAAAAAATTATTTATATAAAACATTTATATAATTTTAAAAAATAATAGCTCTGAAAAAGTAAACTAAAACATGCAAAAAGTATTAAATATTTTTCAATAAAATTGTAAAATTATAAACATATAAATATTGTATTTATTAAAGAATTATTAAAAGTTGGTAGAAATTGAACACGAATGTTGTGTTAAAACCGCACAGAAGCATTTTATAATTTGATTAATTTTAAGAATTTCAAAATTATATTTTTAATAGAATAATATCTAATACATTAAAAATTTATTTACATTTCAGGGTAGTAAACTAATTACCTATATTCTATTACCTATTTTAAATAGTAATATAACTGATGAATTATAATCTTCGAAAACAATAAAAAAAGTATAGAATAAAAAACACTCATTTTACTACTCCGTTTTTAAATGTTCTTACGAAACTTTCACATAGACCATTAGATTAGGGATGATAAGGTGGTAAAGTTGTTATCATTAGGGATGATAACAACTACTAAATGGTAAATAATATGTAGTAAAAAAATAAGCACAAATTGTTATCACTATAAATAAATCATAAAAATTATTTTTTCTTATTTAGAAATAAATAAAATTAATCCTAACCTTAAAAATCAAATATTTTTATAAAAAATAAAAAGAAAAATAAAAATACATTAAATATTATTTACATAATAATATTTATTATAATAATGTTAAAAATTAGTTTTATAGAATTTACAAAATATATTGACGAATTAAAAAATGTACTATGATATGCAGTGGTCATCAAAGTTTATAATTGATTAAAAATTTGAGTTATTTATAGAACACAACACCAACAACACTAGTATAATTAATAAATATAATCATTAATATGATTTATAATTGATAGCTATAAAATATTTAAGTCATAATAGAATCTTCATTAAAGAAATTACTGCTACGTTATAATAATGCGGAAAAATGTTATTTTATTAAGTAAATAAATAAAAACATAAAATTTAAAATGATCTAAGAGTTTGACCGAAATTTGGTAAATGAAGAAGGAAATCAACTCATCACATTTTGTAATTGATAATATTATAAAATTTAATTTAAAGTTTGATTTAATAATAAAAATTAAATAATGTTTTTAAATTTAAAATAATTAATGTAATTATTTTTTAATCATAAATCGTTCTTTCATAAATTTAAAATATACCTTAACTTAGCAATAATTAAAAATTTTTTTGATAAATTTATCATCAAATTTAAAAAAATGTAGCATGCAAACTATATTAAATAAGTTTTAATTTTAGTGAAAAAATAAAGTTATATTTTTATAATCTATAAATAGTCATCAAAGGCAAAAAAATTTAAAAAAAAATTGGGTGAATGTCATCT